CCCCCCCCAAGGAGGCCCAAATGTGGCCAAAACCTTAGTAAATTAGCCTCCCCCACTCAGGAGGCCAAAATGGGTCCAAAACCTTAGTAAAACCAATGATTTGGGCTTCCTCGCCGAGGCCGTTTTGGACGCTCCAACGCGTCGCGGGCCCCCTGTCCAGGTCCAAGGGAGGGGGTCGGGGTAAACCCCTCCCCGAAGGGGAAGAAGGAGGGGTAAAAGAGGAAACACTCTAGACCACCTACGCCCAAAGGGCTGGTGGGATTAACATCACACATGTCTTACGTGGCTGAAGTGTCCGTGGAGAGATATTGGACAGAGTAGCGATGACTGCAAGGTACTTGTACGCGCCGCCCCTCCAGTGTCGGTCATCATCGCTTCCGAGTCGTTCCCGGTCAGACCAGTTTTGCCCTTGCCCTGACATTGGAGGGGCGTCCATCGACATTAAAGTGCGCGCCGACATCGCAGGGGCGTGGCCGCCATTTTTGATGTTAATTTTGACGAGGGTCGTAGGGGCGTGTTTCCTTGTTGCTTGGGGCATAATGGGCATTATAGCCCCTGGCCCCCCCCCTCCCCCCCCTTCATAACTTAACGCCCCTCCCCCCCAGTGCACTCTGGGCACTGCCGCCGTGCGCGCGGCGGGGGGGAGGCGCTACATGATACCCCCCCTGGCCCCTCCCCCCCTATAATGCCCATCATCGCCAAAAATAAAGAAACGCGCTCTAGATGGGCTTCGAGTAAAGATTTAAGTCGGGCCTGTCCCTCTACAGGGGGAATGTTCACAAACAGTCAAAAACAGTCTGGGGACGATGTTTTCACCATGTCTGACAAGTTTTGAATTTGTTTTGAATGTTTTCTATTTTTCGTCCAAAATCCGCCTGTAGGGGGACATGCCCGACCTAAGTACAGATGGGGTCGGAGGATCGCGCCGCATCGGCGATGCAGCGGCGATGCGGCTCGGTGTGGAGCCCGAATTTCGCCACGCCGGCGTCGTCGATGCATCGCCGACGTCGCTGATGATATCGCTGGTGCATCGGCCACGAGCCCACAATAATCCCATTCCGCGAGGGTTCACGCGCGATCCGTTCCGACCCGACTGCCGTCCGGACCCCTCTGGAGGCCTCTAAAAGCAGGCAGTGAGCATGAACTGGGCGGGGAGAGGGGGGGGGGGGGGGGGGGGTCCACGAGGTCCGGCGCGGGGATGTCGTGGCTCGGCGCGCCGTAGGGGGTGGCGGGCTGGAGGCGCCGCCTGGGGCCTAGGGACCCTGGCGTGCGGGGCGGTGTGGTTAGTAGGTGATGGTGGGGCGACTACAAAGGGGGGGGGGTAGGGAGAAAACTGGCCCTCAACAAGGGGGCCCTTGTGTGGGGCCGAGGCCCAAAAGGGGATCCGCCCTTGAGGGCCGTTCTGTCTTGCGACCCCCCATTCAGACCTCTGTTCCGCCCCATTACGCGAACCACCCCCCGCCCGACCATCGCCGATCTAAGAAATCTTCGCGGGCCTCCGAAACCTCACATTTGTGACGTGTTTTCCTCTCCCGCAGGCGGGACCAGGCCTTCTGGCAGAAGGCCCACGGCGCCCTGTTCGGCCTCGCGGGCCAGATGACCGCCGGCCAGGTGGCGGACACCTTGCTGGCCGTCGCGACCGCGCAGCTGTGCCCGGTGAACCTGCTCGAGGGGCTCCAGGACCTGGCTGCACGTGGGAGCGGCCCTTCGCAGGAGTACCATCCTCAGGCCCACTTCGAGTCGTGACAAGGATCTTGGCGAACGCGAGCGTTTTTTTTTGTTTTGCTATGTTCGGCCTCTGGAGGCCCTCGCCCCAGGATCGTCAGAAAGCGACTCGGCATGAAAGGCCGCCGGGGGCCGCCGTGGTGAACAGATCACGACGTCGGGAGTTTGGGTCTTGTGCGGGCCCATTGGGGTCCCCCGATCGCTGAGCACGCCGATGCGGCAGCCTCGGCCTGCGCTACTGGGCCCCTCACCCCGAAAGCCGCGCACCAACGGCCCCTCTTGCTCAGGGCCGCTCTTGCGTGCTGCAGCCGAAGAGGACCAGCTCCGGCGGCTGCGCGGCGAGCTCGAGGCAGACGAGGCCATCACCTGCGCGTGGGCGCTGTGCTCCATGCAGCTGCTCTCGGAGGGGCTCCACCCCGAGCTGCTGGAGCGGGCTGTGGGCGGGGAGCTCGCGGGCAAGCAGGCGGGCCAGCTGCGACAGGTGGCCTTGACGATGGAGCTGGAGCCCGCCGCCCTGCGGGCGCGCGAGGCGTTGCCAGAGCGGCTGCGGGCGCGGCTCCGCGAGCGCGCGGACGCGGGTGCAGAGCACGGCCAGGGCGACGAGGGCGTCGCGGAGGAGCTGGCCGAGCTGCTGGGCGAGAGCGGCGCGGGGCTGGCGCTGTCCGAGCAGGTGGGGGGCTTCTACGTGGTGGACCTGGCGGTGCGGCCGCGGGAGGGCCCGCCGATCGCCGTGCTGCTCGACGGCGCCCTACGGGGGCGTTGGCCGACCACCTGCACCGGGGCCTGGCCGGGCCGGCCTTGCCCCACGGGCTCAGGATCGGTGCGTGCTCGCCGCTCTCCCCTGGCCGAGCCGGGGGGGCGGCGCCCACCGACCGCGGGCCCAGGGCTCGCCTGGCGCAGCGCAGCGGTGCAGGTGGGGGCCGGGGGGGGGGCCGAGCGTGCGCCCCCCGCCCGGCGCGGCGCAACATGGGACAATGCGGGGACGGGTCCCGTCTGACGGCTGGACTGCGCTCGTGGGCGGAAGGGCGAAACGTGAATCCTGTCCGTGCGACGAGCGAGCCCTGGGCTTCTGTTGGTGCGCGCGCAGGACCCGTGGATTTCTGGGATTCGCGGGAGACTTTTCCATGGCGTCCGCGTTCTCCGCAGGGATGCGCGCCCGCCGATCCATGACCCGAGGGCGTGGATTGGATGGATGCGTTCGCCGCTCGTCAGGTGCTCAAGTGTCGGCACCTGCGCCGGCTGGGCTGGGCCGTCGCCTGGCTGCCAGCGCCCCGCTGGCGCTTCGGCTCGGACGAGGACCAGCGCGGCATCGCCGCGGCGCTGCTCTCCGAAGAGGGGCCCGCCGCCGCCCCTCTCTGACCCGCGCGCGGGAACGCGCGCGCACGAAGGCCGCGCGCGCGAGGGCCGCGCGCGCGCGAGGCCGAGGCCTCCGAGGTACCCTTCCGAACGAGCTGCGGAAGGCCTCCGACGAGTGGCCTCCGCGCAGGCCCGAGGGAGGCCTCCGAGGGGCGGGCCCTCTGCAGGCCTCCGCGGGGCCCTCCGAGGCCCGCGGGGCCGCCAGAGGCCCGCCGCGGGCCGGCGAGCGCGCGCGCGCGAGCTCGGCGCGCGGTGGCACGAGCGGCGCGGCGCCGCTGCCGCGCGGGCCTCGCGCCCGCCGCCTCCGTGTGGGGCTCGCCCGCCTCCGCCCTCCTCGCTGGGCCCGGAGAGCGGCCAACAGAGCTGCGGCCAGAGCGCGTTGGCACGGACGGGTGGCCCCATGGGCCGGCCAGTTTTCTTCCCAGCCCGACTCTGTGAGTGGACCTGGGCCCTCACTTTCCGTGCAGGTCCCGGGGTTCCTCTCAGCAGAGTCTTCCGGAGCCGAGCACGTCTGCACGACACTGCCATCGTCCGCGCCGCCTCCTTTGGCATCGCTCGGACGTGTGCATTTTTCCTTCGGCGAGGACCATCGAGGAGCATCCTTGATCATCTCGCGAAAAAAACCACGCACGAAACCAAAAAAAACACAGGAAATGGACGTCCGAGCGATGGCGGGGGCGCGAGCGCAAGCACAAGAGCCGAGTGGGTCTGCGCGGGGTTCCCTTGGATCGGCTCCCTCGCCCTTGCCTCCGTCCCGCCTCCCCTCGGTTCCTCGGCCTGCCGAGTCTTTTTTTGTTCTCTCTCTCTCTCTTTCTCTCTTTCTCTCGTTATACGTCTCTGTCTCTCTGTATCTCTCGCGCTCTCTCTCTATTTCTCTCTCTCTCGATCTATGTATGTATGTATATTGTGTTGTGCTGTGTTGTGTTCGTTTCTCTCTCTCTCTCTCTTTCTCTATTTCTTTTGTTTATATGTGTTTTGTTTCTCTCTCTCTCACTCTCTCTCTATCCCCCCGAAGAAGAAGAAGAACAGAAATTGTTAAAACAGAACGGAGCGTAAGGTCATGGGTGTGGTTGGGGAGAACACGAGCAGAAGCAGACCAACAGCCACAGCAAGAAGAAACATAAGCAGGAGGTAAAGGCAGAATCACACACTTTCGCAGGTGTGCCGGACGTATTGGATCGGCGCTGGGCCCCCCCAGGGTTGGCGCTGGAGGTGCCGCCATGGACGGGGCCCCAGCGCCGATGCACGAACTCCGCGGAAACATGCGTCAGGACGGGAAAAAACACATAGACACAATTAATCGTCGACTCCCAGGAAAATATGGACACATATGGGAATTGGGGGGGGGGAGACAAAACCCTAGAAAATATAGGAAAATATGGGGAATCTTGTTATTTGTGTGTATTTCTCTGTGTGTCCCAGGGCCCCTTCAATGCAGCTCTTGCTTCTTCCTCGTCCAGACCCCCTCGACCTGCTGAGTCTCTATCGCCCGCCCACTGCTGCTGAGCACGAGCTGCCCAGTGGCCTCCGACGCCTGCCCCCTTGCCTCCTCATCCGCCCCAGTCCTCCTCCGCCTCCTCCTCCTCCTCCTCGCCCCCCAGTCCTGCCCAGGCTTCTCTCCTCGTTCGCCGCCCGCCTCCTCCCTCCAGCCTCGCCGTGGACGTGTTCACCCTGCTCCCTCCGACCTCCCCTTCCTCCTGGACGCCCGCGCTCATTCATCATCGCGCCATCGCGTGGAGTGTGCCATCTCGTGTCATTGCGGTCGCCTCTGCTGGATCACGGCTTCGCATCAGGGAGCTGTCATCACAACGCCGTCATCGTCGGTGGGGCCCGTGGGTGTTTAGGCCCAGCGACCATCTGGGCCCACTGTCTGGCAAGTAATCAGCAACCCAGGGAGAAAACGGTCGTGATGCGTTCCAAGACTTCTCACCTATTCCATGTGTTCTGCGCGGGCTCGAGAGACGACGGCCGCTGGACACCTGCACTCTTGGAACACATCCTGAGCCACCCGCGTCACGAGAGCGTTCCCGGCCCAAAGATTTCGAATGTGTTATTCGCGTGTCGTGTGTTTCAAACAGCTGGCTGGAGGATTGGTTAGAATCGCCCAGCATCTCTGATCTCGGCGAGGTCCACGAATAGCCAGCTTGTCAGCGACGTCTGCGTCACCCCCTCGCGAGCACAAGAAGCACTATGTGACACGACGACGTTCTCACGCTCCTCGGGTGTGCACATCCTGTTCGCTGGGAGGAACTCGGCCCTAGACATCCAGACTCCACTGCATGCGTCCACTCGAACCTGTTTCACCGACATTGTATCCCACCTGCCCTAGGTGCAGAAGGCACAGAAAACACAACCCAAGGCGTCTGGAGGTTTCCCTGAGCAGACATCGTTCAAGGCTCCGAATCTATTTTCCAGAGGCCCAGTGTTACGAACAGTGGCCCTCTCGATTGCTTCGCGTCGCACGGGATGTGCCCCACCAGGCCAGAAACGGGCGGAGGCATACCCCCCTCCTCCTCCCTGCAGCCGCACGAGGTTGAAGAACAACTTTAGCCTTGGAGGGGTACCCGCACGTTCTTCATGCGCGCGCTGCCCGCGTGGGAAAGCTGTGCCTGCCTGTCTGGGTGCCTCCATGGGTCCGTGTTCCCTCTGTGCAGGGGCCCACGCTCGTTGCTTGCGTCCCTTCGACCAGATGTCGACTCCATTCTCTCCTGCTCTCCTGCCTCCTCTCCCCTCCTCCCCTGCTCTCCTCATTATCCTCCTCCTCCTCCTCCTCCTCCTCCTCCTCCTCCTCTCCTTTCTTCCTCCTCCTCTCTCCTCCTCCTCCTCCTCCTCCTCCTGCCTCCTCCCTCCTCCTCCTCCTCCTCATCTCCTCCTCCTCCTCCTCCTCCTCCTCCTTCCTCCTCCCTCCCCCCCCCCCCCCTCCCCCTCCCCTCCCCCTCCCCTCCCCCTCCCCCTCCTCCGCCTCCTCCTCCTCCTCCTCCTCCTCCTCCTCCTCCTCCTTCTATTCCAGCCAATGCCGCACCTGCCGCTCGCCGCCCCGCCCTCAAGCTCGCTGCCGCCGCTGCGTCCCCCTGGCGCCCGCAGCTGAACAGCCACGCCCGCCCGGTGGCATTCCGCGTGCCGTGGTGCCGCTCGCTGCGGGCAGGCCGTGCGCTTCATCAGCCTGGCGATCCCCGCACCCCTCCACAGGCCCAAGAGTAGCCCGGGGCAGTCTACGTGGCCCCACATGTCGAAGAGCACAAACGCCACAAACATAAACTTTTGGGCGCTCCGCGCGGATCTCTTGGAATCCGCACTGGGTCTCCCGCGGCGGCGCCTCCGGCGCCGCCCTTGGCGCGCTCCGCGACGCAGGGAGGATGGCGCAGCGCAGATCCAAGAAGTCCGCGCGGAGCGCCAAACGTTTTATGTTTACGGTGTCGTGTCCTCCTCTGTGACCCCCTATATGGGTGCTCCGTGCCCGGGCGGGCTTGGGGAAGAAGGCGACGCTGGTCGTGGCGTCGATGAGGCCGCCCGGTCCTACCCCGGGATCATGCCGCTGCCGACCGCGCTCTACTTCTGGCTTGGCATCGCTCGGACGTGTGCATGTTTCTTCGGCGGGAACCATCGAAGACCATCCTGGAGCATCGAGCAAAAAAAACACGCGCGAAAGCGACACATGTACGGGAAATGGACGTCCGAGCGACGGCTGCCTGGGGGGCCGTCTGTGCCCAACCCTGGGGCCCTGCAGCTGCCCCCCCAGGCGCCCCCCTCGGTCTCACAGGCGGCTCGAGGGCGCCCAAGGGGCGGCAGCGGGCCTGGGCCGGGCCTCTGCGGCAGCCCGCCATGGCGCCGCAGCCGCGGCCGGCCGGGCCCACCAGCGGCGGAGGCCGTCTTTCGCCTCGTCCACCTCCTCCTGAACCCAGACCCCCTCGATCGCGTCGCCACGCTCGATGTCAGAAGACGGGCCCACTGCGACTTGGTGAGGTGGCTCTCCCGGCGCGCCACCCCTCAGCGGGGACGGGTGTTGCGAGGCCGGGAAGAGAGACGGCGCCCATCCCCTCCCAGGAGGGGAAGGGGGGAGAGGTCGGCTGGCGGGGTGAAAGTTGCCAAGGTGGGGCGGGAAGCGCGTCGCTTGGCCAGACCTGGCCATTCCTGGCGCGATGGATGCTTGTCCGGGGCCGTCCAGCAGAAGGATCTCAGTCCGTGCGGGCAGGGGTCGAGGCCCCTTTAATTTCAAGCGATCAGAAGGAAAAGTTATATGCCTGAAGTGATCCATACAGCGTTCGCACCTACAGAGGAGGAAGGGAGGAGGGTGGAGACCCCTGGGGCCCCAGGTTCTGAGAAGCGTTCCACGTCGGGTGTCTGGGAACTCCCGTTCTCGGCCATACTGTGGGCCCCAGTCGGCGGCGTGGAGAAGGATGGGAGGGGGGGGGGGGGGCGCGGGAGGGGGGGGCGGCTTTCGAAGAAGGCCAGGGGCCCGGGGGCTTCTCAGAGGTCCCCCTGGATGCCAGAAGGCCTTCCTGGAAGCCTCTGGTCCTGTCTGAGAGGCCTCCATGCCTTCTCAGGCGGCCGCCCCCCTCACTCCGCCCCCCGCTGCCTCGCTGCTGCCTGTGGTTAAGTCAGGCACGTCCCTCTCCAGGAGGAAGTCTCAAACATAATCAAAAAACAAATGGTGACGATTCTTCTAGTATTCTGATCATTCCTGAATATGTATTAGGTGTCTTTGTTCGTTCCAGAATCCGCCTGTAGGAGGACATGCCCGACCCACGTCTGTGGCAGCCGCGCCGAGCTTGCGACAGGAGACGCACGACGCGGCCAGCCTGGGCGGGAGCCGCAGACACCTGTGGGGTGTTCCATTTTCTCCACGCATAACATCACTGCCAAACGACGTTAGCAAATCTTCTGGTTTGCCCTCGTCGCCAGAGGAGAAGCTGAACGCGTGTGAGACGTGACAAGAGATACATATCACTTGAATGTGTCACTGCGCGTTGTCCTGTGGGGTGCTCCAGATAGGGCTTCGCAATTCGAGGATCGAAGGGCCCGGGCCCCCCCTCGAGTTATGACAAACATGCAGACGGGAGGCTTTTCGCTATTCTCGGCCTCTGGGGGGCCCGTGCCCCCCGCCTGCTCCTCTCGCGTCCTCCTTCTCCTCGTCCTCGTCCTCGTCCTCCTCCTCGTCTTCCTCCTCCTCCTCCTCCTCCTCCTCCTCCTCCTCCTCCTCCTCCTCCTCTTCTCGCCTCCTCCTCCTCCTCCTCCTCCTCCTCCTCCTCCTCCTCCTCCTCCTCCTCGGGCTATACACGGGCACGGGCGTCGAGTCTCTGAATCGCGACGGGCGCCTTCGGCCTCGCGCCGTGCCCCCCCGGGGCCCCCTTCGGATCTCGGCCCGGCTCGGGAAGTCCCTCGCAAAGAGGGCGTTGGGCGGGGGCGTCGACGAGCAGGGTGCGTGAGGATTGGGGCCTCGGACGGTTCTCGGACCCAGAACCCCTCGGGTCATGAAAGAATCGCGACAGAGGTCTTTCGTTGTTTTCGGCCTCTGGGGGCCTTTACCGGCCCTCGGAGCCGTCACCCAACGATTCCGGAGGAGAACCCGCTCCTGGGGAATGGGTCGAGATTTTTGGGGGTCGACTTCGTGAAAACAGCATGACGTCGGGGGTCTTGAGAGTTGCCGTCTCTTCCTCGGCGGAAGGCCGGCAGAAGGCGGCGGAAGTCAAACGAGGCCGCCTCCGCCGGCGAAAGCCGGCGGAGGGCTGGCGGGACCCCCCTTGCCCTCGTAGGCCTCCATCCGGGGCCCCATCTTGATGTTTGAATTAGTTTTTCGGTTCGTGGAGTGCGGCCTGGGGGGACCACCAGAGGGTCGGGCCCCAGCTGCTCCTCACAGAGCCGAGCCACCCCCACAGAGGTGGGGGTGCGTGCGAGGCGGGGCCAAGGTAAACTCCTGGGCCTTGCCTCTCCACACACCCTCGCCGCAGGGCATCTGATCTAGTTTTTAGAGTGCGCCCGGTATAGAGAGAGAGAGAGAGAGAGAGACCGAAGCCCGCCACGAAACTTCGAAAGACCAACAGGGAGTAGTGATTGAAAAAAGGATGATCAGCGGAAGTCTGCAGGAGTAAGACGTTGCCCTCCGGCCGCGATGGGATCATTTTGGGGTTCAGGGTTTCTGGCATCGGTCGCATGTGGCCGGATGTCTTCTTCGGCTATCGGCCCTTGCGTGGCCAGGCATTCGGGTTGACCCAAAAGGGGTCCAGCGACAAGGGGATGGTGCAGTAAATTTGGTGCAATACATTTGTGGGGTTGCAATACATTTGGGGCGTGCAATACATTCCGGGGCGCAAATGTATTGCTGGATTTTCGCGTGCAATACGTTACTTGCAACACAATGCAATACAATTCTCCGGCGCAGTACATTTGCAATCCAATTGTCCCAGATCTATTGTACCACCCCTTTCAGCTGGACCCCCTTTTGGGTCACCCAAAGGCACGTTGATCATCCGCGCGTGCATCCAGCAAGTGACCTCCAGATGTATCGCGCGTGAGTCCAGCCTCCGGCAGCCGGGCCTTGCCACACAGCCCCGTCGCGAGGCCCCCATGAGATATCTGGGTCCCTTCCCGGGAACTGACTTCTCATCCTCTGACGGCCACGAGGAGGAGGAGGAGGAGGAGGAGGAGGAGGAGGAGGAGGAGGAGGAGGAGGAAGACGAGGACGAGGACGAGGACGAGGACGAGGACGAGGAGAAGGAGGAGGAGAGGAGGAGGGGAGGAGGAGGAGGAGGAGGAGGCGGAGGAGGAGGAGGAGGAGAGGGAGGGAGGGAGGGGGGGGGGGGGGAGGCGGGGGGAGGGGGAGAGGGGGAGGGGGAGGAGGAGGAGGAGGGGGGAGGAGGAGGAGGAGAGGAGGAGGAGGAGGGAGGAGGAGGAGGAGGAGGAGGAGGGGGGAGGGGGAGGAGGAGGGGGAGGGGGAGGAGGAGGGGAAGGAGGAGGAGGAGGGAAAGGAGGAGGAAGAGGAGAGGCCCCAGGCCGTTCCAGGCCTCGCGTCCTGCCGTGTCCTGGTGCCCGGGGGCCGTGGGCACGCGCTCGACCCTCCACGGCCGCGCGGCGGCCGTGGAGCCGGCCCTCAGAGGAGCCTTCGGCGCGCTCCGCAGGGGCCTTGGGCGTGCGCGGGCTGCGGGCCCTTCGAGGGCCGCGGGCGCCCGCGGGCGGCGGAGCTCCGCTCTCGAGGCCGGTCGGGCCGCCGCGGCGCAGGATTCTGTCGGGCCTGCCCCTCTGCAGGAGGAATGTTCAAAAGTAATAGTAAGAAATAGTCTGGGAACGATTCTTCTCTTACTGTTGTGTCCCTCTGCAGGAGGAATATTCAAAAATAGTAAGAAATAGTCTGGGAACGATTCTTCTCTTACTGTTGTGTCCCTCTGCAGGAGGAATATTCAAAAATAGTAATAAATACTCTGGGAAAGGATTCTTCTCTTCTTGTTTTGTCCTTCTGCAGGAGGAATATCCAAACATAGTTTACAAAAAATAGTCTGGGAACGATGGTTCCATTACTGTTTTGTCAACTGTCGAATATGTTGTGCGTGTTCTGTATTTTTCGTCCAAAATCGGCCTGTAGGGGACATGCCCGACCTAAGCTCGGGGGGGTTCGCCGCCCCGCGGCCCTCCGAGGCTTCGGGGGGCGCGCTCCGGGGGAGGGCCTCGCCCGAGCGGCGCCCGCCGCCCTCGGGGTGGAGGGCGGCAGAGGGCCGGCGGAAACAGCACGGCGGCGGCGGCGGCAAGCAGTGGCGGGGCGTCTTGGCTTGCCTGCACGCCCAGCAGAGGCTGTTCTGAGAGCCACTTGCGGTCTGCGCGTAATGCTCTCAGGACATGTCTGGCTGAGACCGTCTTGTGTCAACACATCGGCTGTGTGTTTTACGACCGATGTCTTGGTTGCTGTCAGTACTTTCTCTGGTCATAAGAGCATGTAGTGATGGGGCTCTAGGAATGCCTAAACGGTCGGTCCCTGCTCAACTGCTGGCCCGCCCAAAACAGTTGCGCAGAGGGGGGTTAGGGGGAGGGGGGAAGGCTTCTCAGAAGCACCCTTGCCTCTTGGAAGGCCCGGGCCTCCTCTGTGGATGTGAGGCCGGCGCCTTCTAAGGAGCAGCCTCCTTCTAAGACGCCTTCCCCCCTCCCACCACCCTCCTGTGCGCGCCGCCAATGGATCCAGCCTGCGACCGATCCCCAGACCCCCTCGGGTCAAGAAAAAAACACGACGGGGAAGAGCCGGTCCCGGGGAAGGGGCCCCGACCTGTGGGGGCCGACGTCACGAACAAAGCACGACGTGGGGGGCCGGGGTCCCGAGCCCTGCCCCTGCGGGTCCGCTGTCCCCCGCAGGTCTTCGCCGGGGTCGGCAAGCGTCTTTCGAGTCCTGGCCTCCGGCTGGCGTGTCAGACATCTGGGAGGCGCAGGGGCAGGGTTCACGTGTGGCTGCCTGCCCGGGGCTTCCGGAGCAGGGCCCCCTGCCGCAGGCCCTGCCTTCGGCCTCCTGCCGGCCGCCCTCGTCGGCGTCGCTGCCGCGAAGCTTGCGACGGGCGACCTCTGGGGGGGCCTCGGCCTCGTCCTCCTGCTGCTGCTGGGGTCGTGCTCCCCGGCGACTGGCTCGGAGCAGTGCAGCTTCCTCCTCGCTCGCGGCTACTCCCTGCTGGCGGTGGCCGTGGCCTTCCGGGACGTCCTGCTCGGCATGCGCTTCCTCCAGCTCGAGGGCGAGAGCACCGCATCGACACATACCCTCGGAGCTCCGCGGACGGATTTCTCGGATCTGCGCCGGGCCCCCCGGGCGGCGCCTCCGACGCCGCCCCTGGGGCGCGCCCCGCGCGCCAGGGAGGGGGGCTCCAGCGCCGATCCGAGACATCTGGGCAGAGCTCCGTAAGCTTATATGTGAATGCTGGTTCTTTCTCCTTCTACCAGCACTCCGAACACGGGATCAACGGCCGAGGGGCCCTCCTGGCCGCGATGTTGTCCTACACCGTCCCGACCTTGCTGCTGCTGTCGGCCCTGGGCCGCGACGACAGGACGCGGTGTAGAAAAAGGGTTCCCAGTATGTTTCGCCATGTGTGGCCTCCCTGGTGCCGTCCAGGGGCTCCAAGGCCCGTCTTCTATGGGGGAAGCCGCTGGTGGGAAAACTTGCGCCCTGGGAAAGTAAGAGCTTGTAGTGATGAGTGAAATTCTCGAACTCTGGGGTTTCTCCTCTGAAACGCGCCGCATGTGCGTGAACGTAGTGCAGAGTGCTCTATCCAATGCTAGCCACCGTGGGCCCCAAACAGTGCGTTCTAGCATCGCATGCGGTGTAAATTCAGCATGGTGCAATCTATGTAATGTAAGCCAAGTGGCGCAACCCCTGCGGCGCACTATACGTCAAGCAGTCTTGGTGATGCAATATCAGTGGTGCAAGCGATGTGGTGCAATCTGTGTCTGTAGGCTCATATGTTCCTACATCTAGATGATATATATATATATATATATGTTTACATATATGTGTGTATATATATACACATGTATGTATACATATGTGTTGTGGTGAAAACTACGTGTTGCAAACTATTCGGCGTATCGTACGTGGTGCCATGAATGCGGTGTAATTGATTTTTGCACATGGTTTGACACCTCCCATGCTCTTGCAAACATCTCACCCACCCACCCACAACTTGGTTTGCAAAACCTCTTCAGACCGACTACGACGACACCGGCGACAACGACTACGACGACACCGACGACGTTTCCGACGACTTCGACGACGACGACAACGACGACGACGACGACAACGACGACGACGACAACGACGACGACAACAACGACGACGACGACACCGACGACGACGACGACGACGCCGACGCCGACGACGACGACGACGATGACGACGCCGACGACGACGACAACGACGACACCGACGACGACGACGACGTCAACGCCGACGACGACGACGACGACGACGACGACGACGACGACGCGGCGACGACGACGACGCCGACGCCGACGACGACGACGAAGACGACGACGACGTCGCCAACGAAGACGACGACGAGGGAGGAGGGAGGACGACGACAACGGCGACAACGACGACAACGACGACGAGGGAGGAGGGAGGACGGCGACGACGCGAACGACGAAGAAGGAGGAAGGACGGCGACGCCGACGACGACAACGACGAGGGAGGAGGGAAGACGACGACGACGACAACGACTACGACGACGACGACGGCGACGAAATAGGAGGGGCGACGACGAGACGCCGACGACGGACGACGACGACGACGAGGGAGGACGAGGAAGAACGACCACGGCGACAACGACGACGGAAACGACCACGGCGCCAAAGACGACGTCGACGTCGACGAACACGAGGAAAGACAGAGGACGACGTAGGCGACGACGACGACGACGCGAGAGGAGGGAGGACGGCGACCACGACGACGACTACGACGACGACGCAAGAGCGCGCGCGCACGCTTTTGTTTTAAATCCGTGCTGCCAAACCTTGTGTTTTTGTAGGTTTTTTGGGCACACGATGTTTAAATCTTTCCGAAGCCGGTGGGTTTTGAAGGATTTCGGCATACGCGCGCGACGACGCGCGCGTCTGCACTTCGTTCCGTTTTTTTTGCAAGGGATTCTCGCGACGGCACACGCGCAAGGGCGTTCGACAGATTTCGACATGCGCGCGCGAAGCCCGTTTAGTAGCATGTTGTGGAAATCTTGAAAAAAAACAGCTTATGGTTTTCTTAAGATTTCGCAAGAGATCGCGCGTAAGAGTATTTAGCAAATCAGTGTTGCGAAACCCTATGTTTGTGTATGTTGTTTGGGGAACTCGACCGCGAAATCCTTCCGACACCGCAGGTTGTTGGAGGATTTCGGCATGCGCGCGCGACGGCGCGCGCGTTTGCAAGGGATTCGTGGAAAGTCCGAACAGAAAATGTCCCCGCGTATCGTTTTTTACAAGGGAACCTCCGGGGGGTCGATACCGCCCCCCCTGGGATAGTGTAAATTCATTGTTATGATGGACATGTGGTCAGAATCATATATGATTTACATGCCCGAAGGTAGTTTTTTAGGTGGTGCAAGACATGTGGTGTGTGCTGCGTTGTGCGATCTATGTGGAGCAACCAATGTTGTTCGCATTGAGTTGTCAGCTCTTCTGCGCGGACAATCTTCCCACCCATTCATCCTCAACTTGGTTTGCAAACCCATTCGGCGGCGATTGCGATGACTGCTTGGCGTTGGCTGGCGCATCGCTGCGGGCGCGATAGGGCGTCCAGGCTCGCGCGCAGAGCGGCCAACTAGTTTGGCGCGACCGACGCGGCCATGGTGGCGTTGACCTCTGGAGACTCCCCAGCGCGTGTCGCAGGCCGCGCTGGCGCGAAGGCACTTCAGTGCGAGTCGGTGGCTCGAGCGGGCGCGTTATCATGGACACGCCCACAGCAGCAGACACGATGATGATAGTAGCCTTGCTGGTGGCGGTGATGACGACGAAGACGACGACGGCAAAGCCAATGACGGCGCCGATGCGAATCGCGCCGATGACAGTGATGTCGTCCACGTGACAGTGATGAAGGTTTTGGAAGGATCTGCACATGCGTGCGCCGCCGACAGGTGCGAGTGGCCCGCATGTGATTCTTCGGCAGGGATCGTGCCCCCCCCCCGCCCCCGGCAAGCGCGCAAGGGCGTTTGAATGATTTCGACGTGCGCGCGCGAGAGGCACGTTAAACCGAATATGATGAAACCGTTGACAAAACACCGTGTCTGTCTTAAAGAATCCGGAAGCGCGCAATTTGGCTTTATGCATAAGCATGTTGCACATCCGTGGGTTTGCTTATATAGTTGCGTTGCAGCCGATGTTGCAATTATTGCGAGACCGATGGTTGTTGATGAATTTCGGCAAGCGCGCGACGACGCGCCCGCATGCACTTCGCCCCGCTGTTATGCAACGGGTGCCTGAACTATGTGAAATTGTGATAAACGAATTCGCTCGCATAGTGTTTTCATTTTTCTGCAAGGGATGAGGGAACGGTTCGATACTAGTTAGGATGGGTTGGTGTGCATTGATGTTCTGTACGACCGATGGCGCAAATTCATGTGTGAATTGCACACCCGGGTGAACGTGAATTTTAGTTTCGGGAGGGTGGTTGATACGAGTTCTCTTTGTAGGGAGGTAGAATATGTATGGCGCAATCGACGTGCAATACATCGTATGAGTATGTGTATGTATGTATGTATGTATGTTTGTAGGTAGGTATGTAGGTATGTATGTGTGTGGTGCAAGCTACGTGGTGCAATTTATGTTGAGCAAAATATATATACATACATATATATGTATATGTATGTATATATATAAAAATAAATTTATATATATATATATATGAGACAGTGGGCGTGGTGAAAATTATGACGTGCAATCAATCAATGTTCGTTCGCCGTGAGTTGTCACACCCATTGCACGCGCAATCATCCCACCCACTCGCCCACAACTTGGCGGCGGCGATTGCGATGAGCGCTGAGCACTATATGACGCATCCCTGCGGCCGCACTGGGGCGTGCAGGCTCGCGCGCAGAGCGGCCAGTGACGGCGCCGATGCGCGCCGATGGCATCGATGGTGTCCACACGCATGGTATTATCTGACATGGATCGCGCCGCCCCCCCCAGCAAGCGCGCAAGGGCGTTTGAATGATTCCGGTCGCTTCGCGGGGTGCACGTCCGGAGTACGTACAGTCAAGTCGTTTTGGGGGTCCTCGGGGGTCTCTTGGGGACTTCTTTGGGGTCTCTTTGGGCTTCTTGGGGGCGTCTTGAGCCATATTGGGCGCTGTTGCGCCGTGTGGCCCCTGCGGAGGCCGTGTTAGGGGCCTCTCTCGGCCGCCTGGTTTTTTTTGGGGGGGTCCTCTTGGGCCGTCTCGGGGGCCTCTTGGGCCCGTCTTGGGGACCTCTTTGGGCTGTCTTGGGACCCTTTTGGGCCGTCTCTTGAGCCGTCATGGGGCGATTTGGGAGGCTGCTAGGGTCGTCAGGAGTCGGAAAAATTCGAGAACGCGAAAACCTTTCAAAACCTTTTTCGGAAAATCAATGATTTGGGCTCGCGGAGGCGCTATTGGGGCTCCTCTGGGGGCCCTCTTGGGCCGTCTTGGGCGCTTTTTGGGCCCTCTTGAGGCCATTTTGGGCCGTCTTGGGGCCGTCGTGGGCCGTCAAGAGCCCATCGTGAGCAACTTTGAGGCCCCCTGGGGCCCCTGGGAGGGCCACGGGGCCCAAATCATAAATTGTCCATCGGGTTGGGGGGGTTATGAAGCCCAGAAGGGGTTCACCATCTTTTGGTCGGTGGATGTGGCGTGGCCCCTGGGGGGGTTCGGGGGGGAGACGTATAATGTAACACATTAAAAGATGTAGCAATTATGCAATCATCGGACACATTGGATTCGTTGCATTAAGGCGTTCGCCGGAAAACGCTGCCGCTCAGCACGTCGCTTCCGGACGTGGTTTTCTCTTGCTTCGCGGGGTGCACGTCCGGAGTACGTACAGTCAAGTCGTTTTGGGGGTTCTCGGGGGTCTTTGGGGGACTTTTTGGTGTCTCTTTGGGGCCTCTTAGGTCCTCGCAGGGGCGTCTGGGAGGCCTCTTGGGGGCCTCTGTGAGGCCTCTTGGGGGCCTCTCAGAGCCCCGTGTGAGAGTCTTGGGGGCGCTCTTGCGCTGTCTGGTCCCTTCGGGGACTGTCTGGGGTCTCTTGGGCCGTCTTGGGGCCTCTTTGGACATCTCGGCGGCCTCTTTGGGCTGTCTGGGGGCCCTCTTGGGCCGTTTTGGGGCCCTCTTGAGGGTTTCTTGGGCCGTCTGGGGGCCCTTTTCGGAGGCTGTTTCGTCCGTCCTGGACCTCTGATTGGAGGGTGAAAGAGGGGGTCTGCAACAGGGGGTCTTCAATGGGGGCTGAATGGCCCATGTATGCTCAATGTATTGCTCATGTATGTGATCGGGAACGATTGGCATCCAATGTTGGCGCTCATGGAGGGCCAGTCGTTCGTGCCCGCGCGGTGCCCGCGCGGGCACACG